GACTTGCCTGTGAGGTTCCAGAGAGAGAAGCTGAGAAAATTGCTGGTCGTTCTTAAGTAGCTGTTGTCTTTGGACAAAGATTACATGCATCTTGCCATACGAAGCTTGGGACACTTCCCAAGTCATTATTCAGGAGCGTGCAGGTGCATGCTGAGGCTTTGAAATCCCCACACATAACAATGCCAACCTGACAATCATCCCTTGAAGCAGTATCAGCTCAAACAGGCTGTGCTCAGCCTTGCCTCTCCTCTTGTGCTCTGAAAACAAACTGGTGCTGCATGCAGATGTGTTCCAGAGTCAGTGAAATGGAAATGGTGAGGCTGGGATTTATCCAGTCTTCCAAATCTGCCCAGCTACCTCTGTGATTTCTTGTTGAGAAAAGAACATCTCAGTGTCAGCAACTTGTATCCAGAGAGCAACCATTAAGAGAAACCTCAGAAAAGAAATTTCCCTTTTTATCTGTTCATTCCTGGTAATGTGGTACCAGTTGAGTTGGCCTGACTAATTAATTTGTACAAAGACACTAGAAACAACTATGTAAAAACCAATGCAGATGTTTTATATACATTGAACTAATTTTCTAATTAATTTTTGGACATTGTATCTCCCTCCATGCATTTGCAAGTTTGTAGGTGCCTTAGTATGTATAATGCTATTTGCATAAGGTTTTCTCCTGGGTACTTTACCTGGGTGTATATAAGCAGATAATTGTACATGGATTTGTCATAGGTGTGCTCTTGCTGTCAGTGATGATGTGCCAAAACAGGAAAAGTAGTGCAAAGAAATGGGATTAAGTTCAAGTACAGTGCAGTGCATGCAGTCCATGTGTGCAGCTCTCCCTTACTCTGTGCATCCCTCTCTCTCAAAAAAGATACTCTGATCATCCAAAGAGTGGATTTTCTCAGTAAGTTGCTCAAATGAGGCAGGGGAGGAAGGGAATCACCAGAATTCAGTACCTACAATTAAAAAACTTAAAAAGTCTTTACTTCAATCATGATATAAGATGAGCTGTAAACCAACAAACCAAATTGCAGAATCAATGAAGTTGGAAAAGATCTCTGAGATCATTGAGTCCAAATTGTGGCCAAAAAAAAGTGAACTCCTGTCCTCAATTCATATTCTCTTTTGACATTGTGCAGTCTGATGTTCTTAAACATCAGTGACTGTTATGGAAGAAAGCACTGGAACCCCATCATGGAAATTCTGAAAAGTTATGGACATAAGGAGTTAAGAAAACTAATTTTAATATCTTGATTCCTTTATTTTTGGAGGCATAAGCCCCCATAAACTGCCCTTCTGGTATGAAGGTAGGTACCATGGTAGGTACATATGGTAGTGGGGGGACTTCAAGGATAAAAACCCCAGCAAATCACCATCACTGAGTTTGTGTGCATTGCAAGGATGACTTCCTTGGGTACACAAAGATCTCAAGAACATGACTTTGCTTAGATCTCAATGAATTTCACTTGCAGAGCATCCCAATATCAAATTCTTAAATTATCCCCTAGTTAAAATATTATTGCTGTCTTCAGTTTCAGACTCTGCAAAAGCAGATAATAAAGTGGACACTTAGTTTGCACAATTTGTTTTTGTGTCTGTGTTAATCTCTTTTGCTGCTATAGGCTTTAGACCACTTTGAGGAGTATGGGGGGAGATTCTGTTCTGTTGTTTCTGTGCCTTCACACCTCACCTTCTGTGAATGCTCGAGGGGGTCCTTACCTCTGAAGTTAAAAACCAATTGGATTGACAAAATTATTTTGTCTAATATTTACCTTGGCTGACCTCTGAGCTAGACGGTTTGTTTGAAACCAGGATTTTTTGTACAGTCTTTGATTTCCACTTTCCATTAAAAATGAATTATTTCTCTATGAGGAGAAGGATAAAATATGGGAATGAATTCAGAATGAACACCTCAGAAAAAATTAAATTGCATTGAAATGAAAATGCCAAGACTTTATATGTGGGGAAAAAAAAGACAATCCAAAGGGAAATAAGCGATCTGAAAACTTACTACAATCTAGTAAAAATTATTGCTTTTTACTTTAAAATTTTGCTTGACATGAAAATATTAGTTTATTTGTCTGCTGCCTTGGATTTTTTTGTTCAAGATATTGCTTTTCTTCTGGCTTTAAAAGGCATCTTTACAAACATTCCTTTAAAACCACTTGTTACCTTGTTTACACTACTCAGCAGGGAACAGGAGCTGAAAGTAACAGAGCCAAATTAATGCAACTGGCCAGTATGAATTACCTGTGAGTATTAGAAGGGTGCTTCTGTCTTCCTTGAGAAACTGCAAACCAGATACTACTGTGTCATATACAGCTTGTTATAAACATGCAAATCATTGATCAGTTTTTGTTTAAAAAGTGCTTGTTATCCCAGACGAAATAAAACCTGTCAAAGTCTTCACCTTCATTTGTCATTAAAAATGTAACTTCCCTGTTGTTATCTTTTACTGTAAATTAATTAAGATAGATATGGAGGGGATAGTGGTAGGTAAAGTATAGGTTTGACACAATCAGAAGTGCAATCAAAGTCTTCACCTTCATTTGTCATTAAAAATGTAACTTCCCTGTTGTTATCCTTTACTGTAAATTAGTTAAGATAGATATGGATGGGATAGTGTACAGGTTTGACAATCAGAAGTGCATTTTTGCACTGGTATTGCTGGGTTTTTTCACTCATACAGTGAGCACTTGCTGATCTGGGAATGTGCCAAGACTTTCAGATGTAAATGTGATGTATGAATTTATGTGGATGTGTAGATTAAGCTGAAAAGGAACTGGGAGGAGGCAGGAGGAAGAAGGAGAGGCAGGTTTTTGATGTGACTCCAGCTGAAGGGTTAAGCCCCCCAGTCTTACCCTTAGAGCACCCTAAACTAGCAGAGGTGTGAATACAAATGATGCCCAGCTTTGTCCTGGTAGCCTCACAGAGCTGAGCCATGACTCTGCCTGCTCCCTTTGCAGCAAGATGAGCTGAGATTCTTCTGGGCTTCTTCTCCCAGTGGAAGCTCACCTGCTGAGCAGAAGGAGCTCAGCACACCGAGCTCTGGTACCTGACCTGCTGGCAGACCCTGAAAAAGCCCAGGAGAGCTGCAATATCCAACAGTCCTCTCCTGGTGTTGGTGACTGTAGTACAGACCATTGGTTGCATCAGTCAGAGCACCATCACCGCTCAGAGCACTAAATACCATTACATGCTAAGGGTGGCTTCACTTAAATTGCTAGTGGTGGTCTTGGCTATGACTCCTCACACCCCAATGCACCCTCCAGGGATTCCCACCACTATCAGCATCTGCTCCAGCTGCACTAGGAAGTGATCCCTTGCCTTGCTGTCCCCTGGGTGCTCCTGTCTGTGACCTGCTGGGTGAGGCTGTAGGCTGACAGACCCCAGCCTGTACTGCTGATCCCAGCTGGGCCAGCAGAAACACTGCTTTGAATACAAAGGCTGCTCTGCAGCCATGTGAGCAGAGCAACAAGCCTTTGAGTGGGTGGAAAAGTGAGATGGGTGGGGGGCTGCTGCAGCAGAAAGGCAGTGATTGAAAGGCAGGAGCATGGGCAGGCAGGGAAGGGTGACTGGTTTCATGGAACAGTGTACGTTCCACATTACTTTTCTAATGCAGCTAATTTTTCTCTGAACAATTATGGAAAATGTAATGTCAGCCTTGATATGTAAAGCATTTGTCAGTGAAGCTTTTACTACAAGGTCTTTTGAAACTGTTTTTTCCCTATTAAAATTTTTAAAAACCCAAAAAATATACTGAGTGTTTCTGGGGAAACTCTAATGCCAGTTCTTGTGATGCATGAAACCATTCATATGAGGATCTGAACCTGGAAACAGATTAGAACAAGCATTGCTCCTCAGGTGTTTCCATTTGTACAGTGCCAGTTGTGGTGGAATGTGGCTGTGAAATACAAACTCTACAAGTTACAGGGGAGTCCAGGTTTGGCATTGTGATGGAGTTTGATCCTTGCTCCAGTATGGCCAGTTTAAATATCATGTCAAGTAGATAAATGACATATAAAAAAGGGTTTTGTATACAGATTGGAGTGACAATTTTCAGAGCTGAAACTGGCTCAGTTGGTCAGAGCATGGTGCTGATAATGCCAAGGGTGGGGTTTGATTCCTGTATGAGCCATTCACTTGAGAGTTTGGCTTAAGAATTCTTGTGGGTCACTTCCAAATAAGAATATTCTGTGACTAGAGAGAGTAACTAGTGGAATGTCAAGTATTTTATTCTCACAAGACACTCTGGTAGAGATGAGAAAGTCCTCTCAAGCACAGAAATTGAACTAAAACACCTGGAATATTTTTTGCATGTTAAGTCAGATATAATTGTTACTAAAATAAGCAAGTGCAAATTGTTTGCAGCAATGAAAAGAACTACCCTGTTGGGCAGGAAGTGGCATTTATTCTTGCTTGTTATTATGATGGAAAGATTTGATATTCCTGGTGACTATGAAGATTAAACCAGAGATTTATGTTAATGCAAAGGATTAAAAGAATTTTAATAACACTTATAAAGATGCAAATGTTCGCCTGCATTTTATCTTTTTGCAGATGAACGTGCCATAAGGGAAATATTGAAGAGGGAGAACACATCCTCGCTCTGAATTGCAACATCTGGTTTAATACTGCTCTCACATGGTCATTAGGTATTAGTTGTTTTCACCAGTGTGTTTATGAACAGTGTAAGTTTGATTAGACTTTTTCTCCCTGACTAACTTAAGAATATCAGGAAACAGTGATCAACATCCACCTTCAAACACATGGGGCCTGTGGATGGCTTCATACCTTGCACATTTCAACAAACTGTAAATATTGCTCAGTGTATGTTCCTTCTTGCTACTCTATCACTTAAAGATTTATTTTCTCAACAGTAAAGAGCTTGAAATACTGGCTGTGCTTCAGAATTGCCAGCTGTGCTCCCCTCATTTCAAACACACTGTCCCCCAAGTGCAAACACAGGCCACACCAGCCTGGAAAATTCTGTGCTTTATTTGGGGGCCCTGACATATTATACATATATGTACATACATTTCATATGGAGAAATTATAGAAAAAAATATGATTTGAAAAAGGAGGCAATTAAGGTGAAGGTGTAAACATCTGTCTGTGGTCTGGTTTGCATTTTTCCCTGCTCTTCAACCAATTGTTTGCTAACAGGTAAGTATATATAAACAGATGCCACCTGGATTTGTCACACAATTCAACTGATGCGACTGTGGAAATATCCAGGCCCTCAAATTAATATAAATCTTCAAAAGGTTTTGAGTAGTTGAACATCAAGTAATCCATATAGTAAAAGTCATAGCTTTGTTGTCGTTGAGAAGGAGAAAGCTGTGCAAAATACTGCTGTGTAATTTTAGTGGTAGTTCTTTCTTCATTAGAGTGACGATCTTTAAACTTGGGGAAAGTTAAATTTTGTGGAGCACCAATTAAGTGCAAGAAAAAGTTTGCATCTTCTTCCATACTTTCAAATTTCCCAACGAAGTCGTAGTCTATTAAACATGGGCTGCAAAGCCTGTTGACATGATCCCAGTGTATATCCATACCCACGGGCCTGTGTACATCCAGCAGGTATTGAATGAACTCTTTAAACTTGACTCCAGAGCCTGTCCTTAGTGCTTCTTTGGTGGCATTGACACGGTATCTGGAGATGATGGCTTTCCCAAAGACTGGGTGGTAGTAGTTGTTTGGGTGTTCAAACTTGTCCCGGAAGGCAGACACCAGCTTTTCAAAGGGCTCACGAATAAAGAGCATTTTTGTGTAAGTGCTGAGCCTGTGGTAAATGCCCTTGTGGTCAAAGCCATCCAGGCGTTTCAGGTAGTTTCCGTAGTGCACGGTGTTGTGCTGGATGTCCTTTGTGGAGGAGGCCAGCCCGTTCAGCACCATGAGCACCCGCTTCCAGTTCGAGCAGCCCGCTTTGGGCACTTCACAGTACAAAACTCGGTATTTATCCTCTACAAATATTCTAGACACGTGGTAAGGAGTGATTATTCTTCTGTTATTACTCTTGTATTTTGAACAAGTTTCCCTCATAATCCGCTTCCTTTCTCCTTGGATCTGATAGAGACTTTTCCACTTGCTGTTGTTTCTATCCTCATATTTAAGTGTGGGCAGGTTGAGAATGGAGCTGTTCATGGAAATCAGAATTGGGCTCTTTTTAATTATAAACCTCCTCCTGCGTTTATGGAGCTTGATGGAATTAATTTCTTCACCTTTCTGTTGATCTTTCATAGCAAACATGATGCTGCTTTGCCTTCTGTCGGCGCTTTGAAGCTTGGTGGGCACACTTTCAGATGCCTCTAATGAACTGCTCTGCTTAACTGTTGCTGCTCTGTCTGCACTATTTTTTCTTAATCTTCCATCCTGGTCATTGCTGGCAACACAGTCCTGCTGAGGAAAAATAGATTAAAGATATTAGTAAATGAGAGATTGTTACTGCTTACAGCTTGCACCAATTCACGTGGATCTTTGCTAACTTTTAGAACTGTACAATAAAATGTGTTGTCACAAACTCTCAGCACTGCACTGTGGTATGGGCTCTTCTTGTGTCCCCTTGTTCTGTGCTTACGTGAAAGTCAAAGGCAGAGATGAATCTGATCTAAATTTCCAGTAAATTCTAGTTCCTGTTTGGGTTTATCTGTATTTTAGGTGGTGTACCCAGACCCTGACAGATACTTTTGTCTTAGATGTTGTTGAAATTTCTACAAAAAGATATCTGAGTATTTTGAGGACTTGCTTACTTATTCCAGACTGCCCCTGTTGCTGAACAAACGGAAGGGTTTGTTTGTTTGTTTGTTTGGGTTGTGTTTCCCACCACCGCCCCCACATCAGGAATTTATCTTTGCAGTGAGGGCAGACTGGCACAGAGCGAAGCCCAACAGGGAAGGGAGGGGGTTTGTAGAGTCTGCAGGGTGGAGTGAGATGTGGTGTGGGCAGAGGGAAACAGGAAGGATGGCAGTGAGAATGCAGAGGCTTGGCACACAAGGAGTGGCTTTGGTGAGGGCAGATGAAGGGGACCCCAGAGGGAGGCTGGAGTGGGGTGAGCCTGGGGACAGAGAATGGAGACCATGAGAAGCAGTAGAGGTGGGAATGCAGCTGTGGCTGGGATTAGGTCAGCAAAAACTGAGTAAGTAAAGCGGGATGAGGCTTTCTGGGACTTGCTCTTTTTCACTGGGGGATCTCTCTGTTAAACTCCTGCACACAGCCCAGGTGTGCTCTGTTACTTCCTGCTTTTCCAAGTAGCTGAATTAAATCATGTCTGCACCTCTAAGATTAAAACTACGTTTTACTCACTGTTTAGCTGTGTGTCATCCCCATTTTGAGGTCACCTGGATCAGAGTAGCATATCAGCTACCATGGAGTATTTCAACAGAGGAGCATATGTAGTTGCAGAACATTTATTGCTGACCCAAAATAGTTAGTTAGAGGGCTTACAATTTTAGATCTAATTTTTTTGATTTTCAGTGTTTCCCCAATAGTATTTAAAACTGGCTTAAAAATAAGATATTGGTTGAATTTTAAGGTGTACAATTGGGGATGAGAAGGGTCATGCTCTTTCAGGGTGCTCTTTAATATTAAATCTTAATCAATTTTACAAGTCTTTGTTGTCTGAAAAAAAGCAATACAATAGGCGACAGACTTGTTCTGTCATGGAGGTTTTATCTTGTCACATTCTTGTTAAAGGTCAGAGAATAAAAAAGTCTCAGAAAAGAGATTCAGGATTCATTACAAAAAACACTGGTGACAAAAAAACCCCAAAAAATAAAACTGTATTTTGTAGATGACTTGCTTATATTGATAATTACCATACAAAACTTGAACACAACAGATCAGTATTAAACACAAATTTTAGGACACTTGCAGAATTCAGGTTGGATGCTGTGGTAGTGAAGGTGGTGTGCAGCCTGGGAAACCAACTGATAATTTGTTATGCAAAACTCTATTCAGCTGTTGGGACTGATTGTTGCACTCTCACCTTCAGAGGTTGTTTCTGTAGTCAGAAATGAGTTTGTCTTTGTAAATACCAGATGTATTTCTAAGTATTACCCTTTACAAGACTGGCTGTAATTCAATCCTATTTACTCATGACATGGCTGATATTTAAAGGTTATCAAATTCAGGCTTCCTACAATTCTGCACCTTTAGTGATGCTAATGACGACCCTGGAGCTTTTGGGCAACTTGAATGCCTTCTGCCAGTGCCACCCTCGATGCAGAAGGTTGGGCAGGAGCTGCAGAGGAGCTGTCAGTCCCTGTCACCCGTCTGAGCAGGCGATGGCACGGCTGGGCACGGCTGGGCACGGCTGGGCACGGCTGGCACGGCTGGGCACGGCTGGGCACGGCTGGCACGGCTGGCACGGCTGGGCACGGCTGGGCACGGCTGGCACGGCTGGGCACGGCTGGGCACGGCTGGCACGGCTGGGCACGGCTGGCACGGCTGGCACGGCTGCTCCTCTGCACACTTTGCTTTGTCCTTTAACCGTGGGCGAGAGGCAGCCTGGCTGCCACTAGATGGGGGAATTTCACCAGAATTTTTTCTTGAGCTGTTTTTAAGTCCCTCTCAAGGCCTTCATTTGATCAGTGTGATTTCATAGAGAATATTAATATATGCAAAGTTTACAGTATCTTTTAGCAATATCCAGTCTAGGAAAAAAACTCATAAAACTGAAGTTGCATAGCTTATCAAATTCCTATTTTAAGAGGGAAATTTGCATTTTCATGGCTAAGTTTTTGATGCAGCTTTCCTTTTCCAGTGCTTCATCTCCGGTGTAGTGGCCTCATCTGAGCCATCTCTATCTGTACTCCATACTCAGAATATGGGTACAATTTTACTTATGTATTTCTGAAAACTTACTTTTTTTGGTTGCTGGAATCCCATGTTATATTTTATCCCTAAACAAAGAAAGAAAGTAAAGTAATTATTTAGAAATAAAAAAACATTAGTTTCTTCTCTTCTAGACTGATACAGCCAGTGTTGTTAATGCAATGACAAACAGACCAATGGTGAATCATAATTAATGTATTTTTCATAGTAACAATAATCCTTGAAAGGCCTCTTTATGTATAAATGTCATAAAAATTGTGAAATGGAGTGGAAGACTCTACGACTTTCACCCTCTTACAAATGGGGAAACTGAGATGAACAAAACTGGAACAAAAGTGATTGCTTAACCTCGGTTAAAAGGCCAGTAGCAGAACAAGAATCAGCTGAAGGTTGTGATTCCAGGTTAGAGATCTAAACCAAAAACAAGCTGTCCTGTGTGTATTTATCCAAACCTGTATGGCTTGTACCCTGGAACCTTTGATAGGGCAGAATTAATCCTAATAACAGCTTGCATGAGTACTCTGCTGTAAAGGCAACGTGGTCATGTGTAAGCAAGGTAATATTTGCACACTTTTGGAGAGGCAAACAACACAGAATCATATTTTCTCTAATCTTCTGACTTCTACAGTGATATTTACCTGAAAACAAAACAATAAAGATGTGAAAATCCAAGATGGCAGCTTTATCTGATGTGTAGGGTTTCTTTCATGACCATAACCTTTGTTAGGTATAACTTAATAATACAGAAATGGATAATGGAAACACTACTGAATTATGACATTTGTTTGGGGCTTTTCAGCTGCTAGAACTGTTATCATCACTGTCAATGTTGCTTGAAGACTTCAATAAGTCTGCATGATGAATCCGCAGGCTTTTGGACAAGGACAATTACAGCTAAAGGTCTTGCACAGCATTAAGTGCAGGCTCAGTCAGCCCCATCAGGTTGATTTTCATAGCATCAGGAAAGGTCTCAGAAACACCTTCCATGACAGCTCACATTGTGACTTGCTGCAGTGAAGGTACCAAGTCCAGCCTCGATTATCAGTCATGCTTTATTTTTGAAATCAGAGCTACAAACTGATATTCATAGTAGAGTCTAAATAAAATTGCTCTGATTATTTCTGTGCTCCAAAGAGCTCCTCTAGAACTGTTCATGATGCTTTTGGCTTATGTTTGAGCTTTGTTTGCAATTTTGTTCATTTGTTAGCAATGAACTCAAGGTTGTGGGGGATATTGTGATTTTGTGCCTATTACAACTGTATTGTTTTTACTTCATCAGAAATAAGCTCTAGACACTTTACAGAAGGAGTCTCAAGGCTTCTCCTAGCTGCTTCTCAAAAATGTTTAGCTGCAAATTAAAGTCAGAAGGTGTCTGTTAAAGAGAAATAGAGCTTGTAGCATTCCTGTGTAGCATTCCTGTGTGTGTTCTGGAGACCTGAGGCTGATTGTGCTGTACCAGGCTTTAGGAGATGCTCCTGAGCTGTTCTCCAGTTCCTGATGTGATCAGCTAAAGAACCACTTTTATTCTGCTGTTGTGTAATGTGTTACAGAGCAAGGCAGGGCAGGAACCTGCTGTCCAAAAATCCCAGCAAAACCTGAGCACCAGCACTTTGAAACAACTGATGGTAAAGCATGCTGATCTGTTTATGCCATGAAAATGTTGTATTTGTCAGGAAATGTAGCTGCTTCTTTTTTGCTAACCCCAAGGGCCTAATTTTAAGCTGTTTGAGCTGCTTGGCCTTTGCTCTAAGGCATCATTAATACAGCTACTTGGAGTAGTTACTTACAAGACGGGGATGTGTTCCCTTTCCAAAAGTATTTTGAGCTTTTTACAGTTGAAAACTTAAATAGGTGAGGAAAGACTTTTGATCACTTATCAAAAACTGGGGAAGAACTTCAGATGGAATCAGTTCCAAATGCTGAGCATTTGTTGGGTGCAAATGATAATGTAACTCAGGGTCAGTTTTCTTCAGTTGTGATCGTTTGTTCTGACTTAAAGCAAGCGCTGGTACCTTCTAGCAAACCCACATACTTTGTGTAATTACCTCTTAAATTTGGTGCCATGACTAATAATTATTAATAAAACCTCACAAAAGTGCAAACAGCAAGTATGAGACCTAACTATTTTGTGGTTAATTATGATTGCATTTTCATAGTAGTATTTAATAAAGATAACTTATTTGAGAGATTAATATTTTGTACTGATATGCTTTGCTTTGAAAAATGAAAAATAAATGCTAGGAGGAGATGAGTAACCATTTAAAAATATGATTATTCATTTACTGGCTTTAACATGTAATCAGAACAATAATTCCTGCTTAATATAAATGTTTGGTGAAGCACTTGCCAATCTCTTTGATGTTTGCTGAATTTGTGACATCTAAATTTGGCTTCTTTCAGTTGTCTTTCTCATGATACAATCTGTCACTTTAGATTTAAATCTACATGATAAAAACCTCTTAAGTGCAGTGAAGTCAGGGAAGTTATATTGCACAAATCTATTACACTAATCAAAATCTAAATTTATTGTTATGTTTCACCTTTACTATCCATATTTTTTACCAGGTCTTTGACGTTATTGCCAAAAGGGTAATGTTTTTGGTCATAAATAAACCACTGGTGTCTGGTACGTGCAGTTGAAGGCAGTGATCAATAACTCTTAGGTCCAGATGTGATGAGGCCAACATCTCACTGTGCCCAAACACAGAGGGAATAGCAGAGACAAACTCATTCTCTAATTACAGATTGTTTATGTTGCTTCTCATGGTGTTCTTTTCTCTTCCACTTGTGGGACCATGATTTTCCAGGCTCGAACCTGGCCTGTGTTTTATCCAGTCCTACCACACAGTGAAACCCACTGTGAGCTATTCTTTATTTTCTTTTCCAAATGCTGCTAGCAACACAATAAAATGGCTTTCATCTTCCTTGTGTACTGCTGTATAGTTTTATCATTCTGCCTTCTCCTCTGTCTCTGCTTCAAGACCTAATTTTGGTTTGCCTCTGGTGTTTTGCTCTGGTTTGAGACTCAACTACAGCTGAAGTATTTTTTAATAAAAATGATAACTTCAAGTCTGCATCTGCAACTCATCCCTTACAGGGCTTCTGTGCACAGAGTGCTCTTGTTTGCTTCATCCAAATAGATTTGTGAAATTTACTCTGCAATGGATCTTATGGCATTTCAGGAACATCTGTGTCAAGTGTCCTATCCAAATACGCCCCAGTCTTAGGTCTTTTCTCAGAGACAGCAATGTGTACTTCATTGTAGAATGATTAATAGAGTAGTTCTCAGAAATCTGATAAACATGAGAAAAATTTAGCTGGAAGATTTTCCCAAAAATACTGTCAGAAAATTAGGATCATTTTTAAAATACGCCCCAGTCTTAGGTCTTTTCTCAGAGACAGCAATGTGTACTTCATTGTAGAATGATTAATAGAGTAGTTCTCAGAAATCTGATAAACATGAGAAAAATTTAGCTGGAAGATTTTCCCAAAAATACTGTCAGAAAATTAGGATAATTTTTATCCTTTTCTTTTCTTCTTCTTTTTTTTAAATTTAAACTTAACTCAGCTTGTACAGTATAAAAGACCTGTCCAAATCTGATCCTGACTTACTCTGGTGTCCAGTTGTTTGCATCTTTAAATTAAATGACTCAGTAAAGAAATTTAGTTAAAGATTGCTACCATAATAAATTATTTGGTTTTAAATCTATTAAAAATACAGGTGTAGTATACACATCTGGAATACTGTTGAAATAGATAAATCTCAGTAAAGAAATTTAGTTAAAGATTGCTACCATAATAAATTATTTGGTTTTACATCTATTAAAAATACAGATGTAGTATACACATTCTGGAATACTGTTGAAATAGACAAACCTCTAAAAGAAAAGCATTTTCTGCAAAAATTAAGGCCTAATTAGAACAGACTTTATATGTGTGCTTGTTTTAACTATGTGCTATAAATCCTTTTTCTAACATAAACTTACAATTTGATTTGGAAAAATGCTTTCAAAGTTCCATCTAAGCTAAACACAACACCTCATTTTAATACAGAGGGAATTAATGAGGCCAAGTAAAGATGGCTTAGCAAAGCAGCAGCACACCTGAAATTGTACACCAGGAAAGAAGCCAACCTGTGCAGTGAATTTAAATACTCTGATCCCTCTGGGTCCCCAGCGAGGCTGCAAGTGTGTGGTGTCACTTCCCACACATGGCAAACCCTGCCTGGGGGTGCTGGGGGTAAAAGGTACATGTCCAGCCCTTGGCAGACAGGTCTGGTCTGATTTCCTTTGCACTGGGGGAAATGGTGGAATGTTTCTGGGGCAGTGTCCACTGGGAGCTCTAAGTAGTTAATCTTGGCTCTTTGAGTAAGTTCTTCTTTTCCCCCCACTATTTTTGGAAGACATAAGAAGTTCTGCAAGCTGGGGAGGGTTGGGGTTTCTTTCATGTGTGAGTTCCTTTGTAACTCAGATAACACATTTGTCCTGAATTCTGAGCTTTTTGTTTAATCCTACCATTGTCAAGCATACGAGTTCTAATAGTTACAATATTATTTGAGGAGTTTTGGCCTCTGATTGATAGCTAACTCTTAAGCAGTTGTGGTGAAGTAGACCACTTCCCAAAAAGAAAGCATTTCCCCCTCTCCTGTGCTAACACACCATTGCTTTCCATTGTTCTTGTGCTTTTTTCTGCCCAAGCCACCTTCAGAGATGCAGACATTGGATTTGGGTGAAGCTGTGGGTGTCATTTCCAAGGCAGGGAATCTGGGGTTCCTCCATCCCACAGGCAACATGCAATGCACCCTTGTGCTGCTGCAGCTGTGTCAGGGGGTGCTTGGGATGGCAGCAGCTTGTGTGCACTTCACTTGATTAAAACACGATTACTCTGGCTTTTTGTAACTGAAATGACTTTCCATCTTAATGAAGCAAGGGAGTCTCTGGACAGAAGTACTGTATGCAGGGAAAGCAATGCAATTCTGAAGGGCATAGCCTGGAAATAATTAAAAACATTCAGTTCATCCATCAGTTTGAACAAGAAAAAATTACAAATCGGGGAGCCAAAGCAGAGA